TAATTATCCAGGTATTATTACCAACATTATTTAGTTATTCATAATTATCAGGTATATTACCACATTTTAGTTATCATAATTTTTCCAGGTATTATACCAACATTATTATAGTTACCCATTAATTATCCAGGTATTATTACCAACATTATTATAGTTACCCATTAATTATCCAGGTATTATTACCAACATTATCTCAGTTACCCATTAATTATCCAGGTATTATTACCAACATTATTATAGTTACCCATTAATTATCCAGGTATTATTACCAACATTATCTCAGTTACCCATTAATTATCCAGGTATTATTACCAACATTATCTCAGTTACTCATTAATTATCCAGGTATTATTACCAACATTATCTTCAGTTACCATTAATTATCCAGGTATTATTACCAACATTATTTATAGTTACCCATAATTATCCAGGTATTATTACCAAACATTATTATAGTTACCCATTAATTATCCAGGTATTATTACCAACATTATTATCAGTTACCCATTAATTATCCAGGTATTATTACCAACATTATTATAGTTACCCATTAATTATCCAGGTATTATTACCAACATTATTATAGTTACCCATTAATTATCCAGGTATTATTACCAACATTATTATAGTTACCCATTAATTATCCAGGTATTATTACCAACATTATTATAGTTACCCATTAATTATCCAGGTATTATTACCAACATTATTATAGTTACTCATTAATTATCCAGGTATTATTACCAACATTATTATAGTTACCCATTAATTATCCAGGTATTATTATCAACATTATCTCAGTTACCCATTAATTATCCAGGTATTATTACCAACATTATCTCAGTTACCCATTAATTATCCAGGTATTATTACCAACATTATCTCAGTTACCCATTAATTATCCAGGTATTATTACCAACATTATCTCAGTTACCCATTAATTATCCAGGTATTATTACCAACAATTACTTTACTGAGTTATATTACACCAAATTATACATTAATTATTTCATAATATTATTGTAAAAGTTTTAATTTAACCATTCTAACAACAGTTTAAATTATATTAACACAATGTTAACACTAATGTTAATATTAACACAATATTAACATTAACATATTAACATTAACACAATATTAACATTAACGCAATATTAACATTAATATAATATTAACATTAACAAAATATTAACATTAACAAAATATTAACATTAACACAATATTAAAATTAACACAATATTAACATTACATAATATTAACATTAACACAATATTAACATTAACATAATATTAACATTAACACAATATTAACATTACATAATATTAACATTAACATAATATTAACATTAACACAATATTAACATTACATAATATTAACATTAACACAATACTAACATTAACGTATTAACATTAACACAATATTAACATTAACATATTAACATTAACACAATATTAACATTAACATATTAACATTAACACAATATTAACATTAACACAATATTAATATTAACACAATATTAATATTAATATAATATTAACATTAACACAATATTAACATTAACATAATATTAACATTAACACAATATTAACATTAACATATTAACATTAACACAATATTAACATTAACACAATATTAATATTAACACAATATTAATATTATATTAACATTAACACAATATTAATATTATATTAACATTAACACAATATTAACATTAACACAATATTAACATTACACAATATTAACATTAACACAATATTAACATTACATAATATTAACATTAACACACCCTGTAAGCATTTCACATCTGTAAACTCAGTCCACACCCTAACTTGGTACTGAAGGCTATCTAACACACGTAGCCTAACTTAGTACTGAAGGCTATCTAACACACGTAGCCTAACTTAGTACTGAAGGCTATCTAACACACGTAGCCTAACTTAGTACTGTAGCCTAACACACGTAGCCTAACTTAGTACTGTAGCCTAACACACGTAGCCTAACTTAGTACTGAAGGCTATCTAACACACGTAGCCTAACTTAGTACTGTAGCCTAACACACGTAGCCTAACTTAGTACTGTAGCCTAACACACGTAGCCTAACTTAGTACTGAAGGCTATCTAACATACGTAGCCTAACTTAGTACTGTAGCCTAACACACGTAGCCTAACTTAGCACTGTAGCCTAACACACGTAGCCTAACTTAGTACTGTAGCCTATCTAACACATAGCCTAACTTAGTACTGTAGCCTAACACACGTAGCCTAACTTAGTACTGTAGCCTATCTAGCACACGTAGCCTAACTTAGTACTGTAGCCTATCTAACACACGTAGCCTAACTTAGTACTGAAGGCTATCTAACACACGCAGCCTAACTTAGTACTGAAGGCTATCTAACACACGTAGCCTAACTTAGCACTGTAGCCTATCTAACACACGTAGCCTAACTTAGTACTGTAGCCTATCTAGCACACGTAGCCTAACTTAGCACTGTAGCCTATCTAACACACGTAGCCTAACTTAGTACTGTAGCCTATCTAACACACGTAGCCTAACTTAGTACTGAAGGCTATCTAACACACGCAGCCTAACTTAGTACTGAAGGCTATCTAACACACGCAGCCTAACTTAGTACTGAAGGCTATCTAGCACACGTAGCCTAACTTAGTACTGTAGCCTATCTAGCATACGTAGCCTAACTTAGTACTGAAGGCTATCTAGCACACGTAGCCTAACTTAGTACTGAAGGCTATCTAACACACGTAGCCTAACTTAGTACTGAAGGCTATCTAGCACACGTAGCCTAACTTAGTACTGTAGCCTATCTAGCACACGTAGCCTAACTTAGCACTGTAGCCTATCTAACACACGTAGCCTAACTTAGTACTGTAGCCTATCTAACACACGTAGCCTAACTTAGTACTGAAGGCTATCTAACACACGCAGCCTAACTTAGTACTGAAGGCTATCTAACACACGCAGCCTAACTTAGTACTGAAGGCTATCTAACACACGCAGCCTAACTTAGTACTGAAGGCTATCTAGCACACGTAGCCTAACTTAGTACTGTAGCCTATCTAGCATACGTAGCCTAACTTAGTACTGAAGGCTATCTAGCACACGTAGCCTAACTTAGTACTGTAGCCTATCTAGCATACGAAGACTACCAATAATGTCGCAAGTCATATGTATATATCATTAAAGAAAGCCTTAATAGATAAAGTGGGTGTTACAGTATACTTCTCAGTATATACACTGAGGGATATACAACCTCAAAGTGTATATACACCTCACAGTGTAGATAATCAGTGTATATACAATATACCACCTCTCAGTGTATATACAATATACCACCTCTCAGTGTATATACAATATACCACCTCTCAGTATATATACAATATACCACCTCTCAGTGTATATACAATATACCACCTCTCAGTGTATATACACTAAGGGATATACATCCTCACATTGTATATACACCTCACAGTGCATATATTTCTCAGTGTATATACACCTCACAGTGCATATATTTCTCAGTGTATATACACCTCACAGTGTATATAAAGTGTATATACATGTAAATATACCACCTCTCAGTGTATATACATGTAGATATACCACCTTTCAGTATGTATATATGCCATCGCTCAGTGTATATACACGTCGATATACCATGTCTCAGTGTGTATACACGCATATATACCACCTCTCAGTATATGTATATATACCATCGCTCAGTGTATATACACGTAGACATACCACCTCTCAGTGTATATACACGTATATATACCACCTCTCAGTGTATATACACGTAGATATACCACCTCTCAGTGTATATACACATAAATATACCACCTCTCAGTGTATATACATATATACCACCTCTCAGTGTATATACACGTAGATATACCACCTCTCAGTGTATATACATATAGATATACCACCTCTCAGTGTATATGTCGATATACCACCTCTTAGTGTATATACACATAGATATACCACCTCAGTGTATAAACATGTAGATATACCACCTCTTAGTGAATATACACATAGATATACCACCTCTCAGTGTATATACACATAGATATACCACCTCTCAGTGTATATACATGTAGATATACCACCTCTCAGTGTATATACATGTAGATATACCACCTCTTAGTGTATATACACATAGATATACCACCTCTCAGTGTATATACATGTAGATATACCACCTCTTAGTGTATATACACATAGATATACCACCTCTCAGTGTATATACATGTAGATATACCACCTCTTAGTGAATATACACATAGATATACCACCTCTCAGTGTATATACATGTAGATATACCACCTCTTAATGAATATACACATAGATATACCACCTCTTAGTGTATATACACATAGATATACCACCTCTCAGTGTATATACATGTAGATATACCACCTCTTAGTGAATATACACGTAGATATACCACCTCTCAGTGTATATACAATTCTTACGCATGAGGATATTCTATCCTGGTATATCTTTAATTAACATACAAGTTTATAAATGCACAATTGGATTTTTTTTAATAATAATAGTGTATAAAGTCAGAAATTCTGACTTGTGTATGGTCAGTATTATGCGCTTAAGGGCGATTTTTAGCACACTTTCCTACACGTATCGCCCTTCAGCGCAGATATGTTTTAATCTCCGGCGTCTGTACGCCAATAATCGCATCTTCTAATTCCTATATTGACGCTATTTAGATATATATAAATGGTGGGGTGAGTGGTCAAGGCGTATGATCTGCGTAAAGTTGGGGAGAAATTCGTGGATCACGTCACGAAATTGGTATATACGTGGATGGGGAGTTGTGTATGTGGAGGTATATAGGTGTAGGGAAGCAGTAGGTGTCCTGCTGAAGCTATGAGCAGCAGCAGCAGCAGCAGCAGCAGCAGCAGCAGCAGCAACCACCTGCTGACTGCAGCAGTTATCAACTAACATTAACATCACAACACTCAC